AGAAATTTCAGTCCAGAGAAAATTGGTCCAGAGAAATTCTGGCCCAAATTTCTCTGGACCAAATTTCTCTAGAAAGTCTACAGCAATTATGAATTTCTCATAATTTCTCTGGCTCAATTCTTCATAGAATTTCTCAGTATTTCTCTTATGCATTAGTTGAGTCCAGAATTTCTCTGGTCCAATTCTCTTCAAATTTCTCTGATTTGCAACTTTCTTTAGTTTTCTCCCAGAGAAATTTCTAGAATTTCTCTGGACTCCAAACCAGAGAAAAACAATGCACACACAAAACACATTAAATAGAGAAAGAGAGAGAGGGGTTAAACAAATGTTGATACCTAGAAAAATGCAATGAAGCCTATTACAGATTCAAAAACTCTAATTTGATCATAGAAATACTCTTGTAGGCCAACAAGTGTAAACCCATCTTCAATCCCAAGAATGATGAACTGAGGAGCTAACCAAAACACACTCATAGACAGATAACCAGAGAAATTTTCCAACCCAGAGAAATTCCCAGACAAATCTTTCTACAGTAGTTCTCTCAACCCAGAGAAATTCTGGACTCCACAACCCAGAGAAATTCCCAAAAAATACAGAAAAGACACAGAGAAAATCTCATCACCAGAGAATTTCTCTGGATTCAATCATAGCAATTTTTGCTTTCAGAAAATGAAGCTACAAGAAATAATGGGAAAGAGAAAATGAAGCTTCATAGAACATAAAAGAAGTTCACACAATTACAAAAAAAATGAAGCTTCATAGAACCTAAAAGAAATTCACTATATATATATATATATATACACACACATAATCAGCAAGAAAGCACCCAAGCACAGAGAGAGAGAGAGAGAGAGATGGGGAGAATGCAGGTGGTAGATGTGAGAGAAAAGATGATAAGAAGAGAAGGAGCAGAAGGAGGATGTCCATACTGTGGAGGACCAGTGATGGCAATGGATTTTGATACCCATTTAGTAGTGTTTTGTGTTCCATTCCCTTACAAGACAAAGCGCAAATTCTATTGTTCCATTTGCTCCACTCGCTTATTTCGCTCCTCAGCCGCCCCATGATCTCATCAACCTCTAATTCTCCCATTACAATCACTTTTCTCTTATCTATTATGTATTCTGCAGTCTCAATATAGTCATTCTTGTATGCTAATCACCATTTGTGTAATAAAAACACCCGAGATTTCATGGACAAGAGAGCATGTTATACATATCACCTAGTTTCTTCCTATATAAAATGATATATTATTTATCCTACACATACACGTAACCTTTTATTTTTGAAATAAAATAACGAAACAAATTCAGTAACAAACAAACAAACAAACGAACAAACAAAAAATTCTAAATGCAGGTAGAATGGTTACGCAAGAGCACTTCTCAGATCAAAATGTTGCGGCATGTCAATGCAGCCACTAGTCACCTCTAAACCAAGCAACAAATTGGGCCAAAATGATAAACATACAAATTGAGCAAACAATTTCAATTCACCTTCACAAAACTTTTCAAACCAAGTAACCCATAACAATGGCCCAATATTCGCATCACCACTTATCTTCACTGGACACAGGCACAATATTTAAACATTGATTACAATGGCCCAGCTGCCATTGATGTAGGAGAGAGAGAGAGAGTGAGAGAGAGAGAGAGGAAGCAGAGAGTGAGAAGAGAGACCAAACTTAGTTGAGGTGAAGTGATGAGATCGGGGGGAGAGAGAGGTGGGAATTTCTCTGTGATATATGGGTGTAGGAGTTGAGGGACCTTAGACATTATATGGGTATGGGTGAGGGAGGACCTTAGACTACAAAAGAATAGATTGTGGACCTAATCTATTACTAAAAGTTGGATAGGGACCTTAGACCGATTTTCCCTATTTTTATTTGGGTATTGTTAAGGAAGTTTAAAAATATTGTACGTATTTTACTATACTTACTTTCATGTATAACATACAAATAGACAAAATATTGTAACAACATGTGCCCTAAGCCATACGTTAACAAAATCCTTTTTATTTATAGTAGCTAGACTCGCTATTTTAATTATCAAAATAAAAAAAATAAAAACTCGCTATTTTAATTATCAAAATAAAAAAAATAAAAACTTCTCTACTTGTTTTCCACGTGGACGATTATCACCAAGTGTTTTTTTTATTATGTTATTATTATTTGAAAAATATTAGAGATATTGCGTCAGACTCATACCCATATAGAGTCTACATCTATACGAGTCTTTAGTTTTTCATAGTGTTGTTATTATCTCACGGTTTAGATCAATCACTCGGCCACCTAAAGACTAACATATCTCTTATTCAAAGGGAGAAAAAAGAGACTATTCGTTGGCACACACATATATATATATATATATATATATATATACGGGGACAACTTGCCTCCAATCCTTAATCAAACTGGATAGTACTATTTGGCTTGTGGGAACTCATCATGGGTCCTGTTTTGATAATCCGAACAGTTTAATATGTAGAATTCGTCGAGTATTATATATCTGTAAAAGATCACGTTGATCGGATATCGATAGTTATGTGATCAAATTAGTTTTGTATAAAAAAAAAATGGACGGTGAACAAATTAACGGTTGACAAAAAACTGATAAGATGAAATAACTATTGATATCCGATCAACGTGATTTTTTACAAATATATAGCACTTGACGAGTTTTACATATTGAATGGTTTGGATTATCAAAATAAGATTTGTGATGGGCCCTCACAGACCGAACAATATCGTCTAGTCCGATTAAGGACGGGAGGCAGATTGTTCCCTATATATATCTATATGAGTTTGTAACTATCTGATAAATGTATAGCTTATCATGAATTTTTGAACTATATATATGCTAAATGACCATTTTTCAGTGAGTACATCACTGTATTAAAATATAAAATCCAAATTCGTATGCATTATTGTGTGTACTTTTTTGTTCAATTTTTAATTTATGTTTAATTTTGATTTGTTGGTATAATTAACATAACATCACTGGAAGATGAATACGTTAAACGGAGCAACAAAATGTTGAAAAGTCCGGAAAATGAAACCTCATTGAAGGAGCAACACAAAATGCTACGACTAGTTTGAGAAAGTCACCATGGTTCCCACCTGTGGTCCACCTACTACCCTTAGCTCCATTCCCATATTGATGTAACTTGCACGTGAGATGATGAAAGACACAGGGGCACATTTGGAAATATATATATATTTTGTGTGTAGAATAATTATAAATTTGAGACCGTCACCAAACCTAATACTAATCATCATTAGCCCAAGCAAACTACATATAATCTCCATAATAAAAAAGAAGTAAGTATTACAAATATCAAATTCTTTGAAATGACCTATAAATACTCTATTGGAGAAGGAGGAGTTGAAATTTTTTAATATGATGTAATACATGATTTGAGATGTATACAAATTTAGTGAGTTAGGATAGATCAATTTTTTTTATTTTATTTTTTTTATATGCACACAAATATATCATGATTTTTTTCCACTAATAATGTAATCTCGTGTTGCTTCATCTAGCAGAAAAAAAAATATACGTAAAATATGATTTGAAGGCTAACATTACTTATATATAATTATGATAATATACATGATTTGAGATGTATACAAATTTAGTGAGTTAGGATAGATCAATTTTTTTTATTTTATTTTTTTTATATGCACACAAATATATCATGATTTTTTTCCACTAATAATGTAATCTCGTGTTGCTTCATCTAGCAGAAAAAAAATATACGTAAAATATGATTTGAAGGCTAACATTACTTATATATAATTATGATAATTTATTTTTTATTATTTTTTTTTTATTTTTATCTAATACGATAAAAACCATACGGGTAGGATATAGTTTTTTTAACTAAAGAATTGGAATTGAGTTGAAATAATTTGTTTTACTAAAAATAATTTCATCATGTAAAGATTAGTTTTATGATATTTAAGTTGGAAAATTTACAATTTTGCCACACATTTCGTATTTTTAACTGTCTCGTTTGGGAACAAGCTATTTTAGTAACTTTTTGACTTTTTGGCTAAAATATGAGTTAAAAAAACTAGTATGTTTGGGATGACTTTTTATGAAAAGATATGCAAAAAGTAGAGAGAAAAGGGAATCTTTAACTTTTTGATATATGTTATTGATTTTTTGATTTTTTTAGTAATTTTTTGACTTTTAGACTAAAATAGCCACTTGTCAAACGAGGCCTTAAATTTTTTGGACATGATATACAAACTAAACACAAATAAAAAATAATGGCACTATAAATAATACAAAAATTTTTTATTGAATTAATGTTGAAATAAGTCTGATACGACCTTGAAGTCTAGACTACTACGCGAATCAAATTTAATTTTTGAGTGAGAAAACCAAACACACTTTTAGAACATTCCTGATTGTATATGAGGATTCATTGAGGTGCTCACTATGGATGGGGGTGATGGTATCATGTATCTGTTGTGATCAGTTTAGTGAGTGATCTTAATTCGCCATAGGTGGTTGTGTTGTGCATCTTTAAAGATGTAGTTTTATTCATCATAGTTAAAATCTCTTTAATTGGTGTCCTTGTCAGTGATAAGCTAATTGGGATAGACGGTAAATGCTATGATATATTTTTCACTATCCAGTTTTGTATTGTAATGTTGATTCATGCATTTTTAATTTTCATCAATAAAGTAAAAAAAGCAAACACACTTATTATTTCAGCCACATTTGAGGTTAAATAATGAGTAATTTTATTCATTAGATTAGACCCAATAAAAAAAATAGTCATGTTTTGTTGGGAAAGAGAGAATTGAAAGCCATGGTTCAAATTTTTTCTGGGAGCCATGGCCCAAACTTCAATTCCATGAACATAACTTTGTGGCGGGAAACAGGCATTTGGGGCCAAATTGTGGGCTTATAGGCCCAATTTCATAACATTAAAGGCGGTTGGGCCATTTGACCGCCTCGATCCGCTACCACACAGAGAGTATAAAATCAATATAATCAGCGTTTTCATAGGGAGCCGAGAATTAGGGTTTACGAGCTCCGAGGGTTTTGAAATTGAAGAAGAAGAAGAAGTAGTTTTCGTTTCGAATCAAAAGGAACAATGATCTACGACGTCAATTCGCCTCTCTTCAGGTCATTCCTCAGCCAGAAGGGTGGTTCTTCTGACAAGAGGTCCTCTCTCTCTCTCTCTCTCTCTCTCTCTCTCTTGTTTTTGTTTTTTCTTCTTATTTTGTTGTCGTTGTTGTGAAATCTACAGTTTTTATTGGCTAATTTCCATTTTTTGATATGTTTTATGAAAAATTGCATGTTTCTATTTGCAAGAATTTATTGTTTGGCTTCAATTTTATTTTATTTTGTTATAGTTTTTGTCTCGTTGCGTGAAGAAAGTTTTGAATCATGGGTTTATGTGGGTGTTTGGGAAGTTGTTATTTTAGTTGGTGGTTTTAGTTTTTGGCTATTTGAGTTTAGTGAGCATCTTTCATGGTATCAGAGCCAAGTTTTAATTATCACATAATAAAGATATAAATCTAATAAATTAGACATATATGATCACAATACAACCATGTCTGAACAAAGTGACAATACCGTAGAAATACCAGGAACTGAATCAGTAACAACTGTAGGAAATACTGTTTCCTCATTAGCCGAAGCTGCAGAATTAGTTGCATATCAGGATGTTAAATAGGCCCTAGATAAATGGACCATACCATCAGTAGATCCATATACCATATACAGAAAAGGAAAATTCCAATTCCTCAGCAGAACAATTATCAAGACATTTGAACATGCATCTTGTATCCAGAATAATGATGAAATAATTAAATTAATTCATGTTAATGATTTTGTCCCTTTTCTGAAAGATTATAAGTACATCCATATAGGATTGGTACAAATTGCTTTTAAACCCTTGACCCTTCTTGGTCAAAACACCAGTATCCAGTGCACCCTTCGTGATGGACGCTGCCTTGATTGGCGAGCTTCACTTATGGGAGCCATTGAGACAAGTTTGTCTCATGGACCAGTTTATTTTGATATTTATCCGAATCTTAGTGTGGCTTTATGCGATGCTAATTTATTCAATGTTTTGGAACTTCGAGTTCTCACTCATGGATATAATTACAAACCAGGTACACCACTTTTCTCGGTACATTCCCGAATTTACATAAAGGCTTTAACAACTTTAAATCCTTATGTAAAAAAGAAAACTGAAACAGGCCAAACAGTCTTAATTGAGACTAACCTCTACAGTAGCCAAGTTGCAGTATAAACACCATGAGGAATACGATTTTGAGAAAGACGGATTCCTTGAATTTCTGATGTCATAGGATCTTCTTGTGGATCACTAGGTGGTCTACTAGGTGGCCTAGAGGGTATCTGTTGAAGAATATTTTCTATTTGTCTTCTGGTTGGTTGGTTGTCAACAGATTGACGGCTGGATTCTGGATAGTCCACTTGGTAAGGAGGGACAGATCTAAAACTGTTATTAGAAAAACTTCTAGGTGCAGTTCGAAAACTAGCATTAGAAGAATTGCTTCGAGTAAGCAAAGGTTTCTGGAATTGGAGATAAACATGACCTCCTTGTGTCTGGATAACATCATCGATGTTATGTTGAATCATTGGTTTGGGTGGTACAGCATTAGGAATCTCCCACCTATCTGGAAAAGTTATGTCTTTCCAAGCGATCATCTTGGGGACAGCAACTTGGCTACTGTAGAGGTTAGTCTCAATTAAGACTGTTTGGCCTGTTTCAGTTTTCTTTTTTACATAAGGATTTAAAGTTGTTAAAGCCTTTATGTAAATTCGGGAATGTACCGAGAAAAGTGGTGTACCTGGTTTGTAATTAAAGCCTTTAAAGTTGTTAAAGCCTCAATCGTATTCCTCATGGTCTTTCTCAAAATCGTATTCCTCATGGTCTTTGGGAGAATAGTTAGATTTTTTTTTGTAGTTGGAAGTGATGTTTGTGAGAGAGAATGTGAAATGATTATGAGTTTGATGTGATATTTTGTCTTATTGGCTATCTTAGTTTATTTTGTCTTTTAGTGCTATTTTAGCAAAAAAAAAAAAAAAAAAACAAAAAAAGCTTCTTCCCAAATATGTATGTATATTTCAGATCAATTACCAACCCACTCAGAAAAAGCTTTCAAGATTATGTACCTGAATTTTAGTGCTTCCATAAAATTAGAATCTTTTATTTGTTCCTGAAACATTCCTTTAATTGTGTAGCAAAGAGCAATAATGCTTAGAGGCTTTCTCGGCATGCTTAGAAACTGAATAGAAGCAAGTTTATCATGTTGTGATTCTTGTGCAACATTAACATAATCATCATAGGCACTCTCTCACAGTGAAATTTTCATGATTGTTTTTCCACGTACTTTCTTCCTTATTTATTTGGTTCCTGTCTTTTAACTAAAATCAAATGAACGAAATTTTATGGGTATTTTGGTCTCTGTGCCTGCATTTGTATTTGATGTTGCAGAATTCAATCCGTCTTGCTTGGAAAATAAACTTGTCCTCATATATTTGCTTTAGAAAAAGAAGTCACTTAGATTGTTAAGTAATACGTTTACTTTGGTTAGATTCTCCTTTTTTTGTTTTTTGAATTGTAACCTGATTTCAGTGTATTCTAGACAGATCAACCGGTTTTTATAAAAATTCAAACTTTACAAGACAGGAAAGTGCTTTTGGATTTGTAGATCCCCTTTATCTATTTTCTGTATGCCCTACTGGCCTTGTTTTATCTACATTCCTAAACTTATTGTATTTCGGTTGGATTTAGGCAGTGCAAAAATGTTAGGAAATTGATGGTTAAAAATAGCAAGATAGATGAAGAACTCCACATATGTATCACATAAGCATGTTTAACTACATAAATGTGATGGGCAAAAAGGATGTGCCTTGAAACCTGTTTGACGAGGAAGAGAGAATTAAATTAATTGGATACTGGATTAGTCATACTATTACCAACTTTCTTCCAATTGCCAAATCATCGTTGCCATATTTATTTGTTTCAACATTATGGAAGTCAAAAGCTGTTTGCTACCATTATGAGTTACATCGGTGGAACTCTTCTATCAAGGTTCAGTGACACAGTCTCATTTTAAATACTACATGCAGCTTTCCATTTTTTGTATGTTAATTTATTTTTTCAGTTGGTGCATGCTCTGTTATTGTCGTTTAGCCCACTGCTGGAGGGCACTGTTGATACATCCTCCTCCACCTCTGAATTCATGCATGATATTGCTTACACCTTGGATTGAATGCTGTGCATCTGGATTACAATGGCTGGTTAATCACCACTTTTTTAGGAATCTTTCTAATGCTGAATGCATAGATATCATACTTGTTTGTTTTTATTTTGATGTGCTTCTAACATTTGTATTTTAACTTGTTGGAAAATCTAGGAAAGCTGAGGAGCAGAAACCAAAGGAACACAGGCCAAAAGCTAACGAAAATAAGCCTGTAATGACCGAGTGATAGCTGCATAATTAAGATTTGGCATGGGGTAGGGGGTTTCAAATGCTGTAGTGAACTATGTTGAGGACCTCTTTTCAATTGAATTTCCTTACTGATGGGACTTGTACTTGACTTTTGTAAGATTTTCTTTTCTATATGCTATTTGGAAATAGATTTTGTGAGTTTGTAATGGAAATAGCTTTCTAAAACACAATATGCTTTCGGGAGTTGATCCTTTTATGAAGAGTTGAAAAGTTATGCCTGACAGCAATTTGAAGTGTTGCAGTCACTTGGCCGCCTTATCTCTTAGTCTTAGTGATCTCTACCCGGTCCTGGTTTTGAAAATTTTATGGAAAGTTGCCAGCTTAAATCAGGCTAACCCCCTCATTCTTTTCTTGATTTATTTATTTTGTTGTTGAATTCTTTTGCTGTAGACTCTGTTGGTTTACTTTAGGCATGGTTAAGCAATATTGAAGTAAAACATGATGTGAGTGTTTTGATGTGAAGACAGAATAATAGTAAACATAAAATTTGGCTAGGATCCTCCCTATCCCCAAAAAATGTGTACCATTGTCCCATCACTCACCACCATATGATTAGGTTTCCTTCAAATTAAAAATCATGAAAAACATTATATCTGTGGAGAGCTAAATCCATGTGTAGGATGAGCTTTGCTCTTCTTGTTTATGTAATTGAGATAATACAGGGTTTTTTTTTTTTTTTTTTTTTTAAAAATTCCCGTTTCTTTTGATGGTGGCATCTCCTATTTGATGATATTTTGGTAGAAGGGGGTTTGTTTATGGGTCTGATTTTTGCAGAAGGATTCAGGTGTTGATTCTGCTAGCTTCTAATTGGTTTACTGGGCCATTTGGTACTGTGCTGTCTTCAACTTTATCTGAATGTAATACTTATTACAGTTATAGATGTCCACATGGGTGGTTGACTGAGAAAGGCATCCCTTCTTCTAGAAGAAAAGATCAAGGGGCCATGGTTATAATAGTCTTAGCTTTCGGTCCCTTAATGCATGATTGTAGAGAGCTTTTATTTACTATCACAACATTTTTTCTTTACACCCATTTTTATAATACCTATTTAAAATATCTAAAATTTTGTTTCTCCTTTTACACCTCTACAAATAATTTTTACAATAGTCTCATCTTTGGCATTTCTCTCCTCTTTACAACTCAATATTTTAGACATTAACCCACAACATACAACCATTGCCACCTTTTGACCACCTCTAGCTGCAATCTCAACCCCTTCCTTGCCATCGCAACACTTCACCTTGCTGTCTTTGGCATGCCTCCCTCATGCCTTGGTCTTGGTTGGTCATGGGCACAAGGTGCTGCCAATGCCAACCATGCAGCCTTCAAGTAGAAGGTGCTATCCCTTTACCACTATGACTCTTCTTTATCACTTTCCTACCAAACTTGCCACCCCCAACTGCCTCTCTTGTCATTGTTATTGACCCCTCTGTAAATAGTAAGAGATTGATTGATAGAGAGAGAACCTTAATGGGTTTGGGTTTTCAAGGAGGGTGAGGGTTTTCAGATCTAAGGTTTATGGGTTTGTGGTGGTCAAGAAAGGTGAGGAAGAAGAGGGGGTGTGGGGTGGCGGGATGGGGAGGGGAGGGGGACAAACTGACATAAATGCTTTTATTTTTTCCCTCTTTTGAACTAAATATTTCACTTTACTATTTTGTGGTTTATGTAATGTACACCTAATTTCTTTTCTATTTGGAAATATAAATAGTTTAAATGATTATTTTCACGTGAAAATACTTTTAGGTTGCATTTGGACCCTTTATTTCTGAAGGAACTTATAGAAAAAAAAGAAAAAAATTAATAAGTAGTGATTTTTTGTAAATCATATTTACAAGGAAAAGAAAAATCATTGGAGATTTATAAAAGTACCCTTATTAGGAATAATTGAACAATAATAATAATATTGGCACTACATTGTGAACTTCCCTTGCACACTTATTTATTTTTTAACCTATCGAAAAAAAAATTAAAATAAAATGCTAATATAATTATCTAAAAAAGAAGTCAAACAACAAACATATGGGGCCTTCATGTGGTGAAAAGCTGAGGGGCCGAAGGAAAGGGCGCACGCATAATAGCATGCACTTGAGTTGGCATTGAGTGCTTTCCCATGTGAAAGTGAAATCCATCATCTAACTGACTTCTTAAAAGTCCTAATCCCCTCAATCACCTCCTGTTTCTTGTTTTAGTTTTCACAACTTGTAACTATTTCTACTTATTTTCTTTATTCACTGTTGTTTAAAATTGAATAATAAAATTTCATACATATTTCATATATTTTAATACATTTTTTTTAAAAAAAACAAATCTATCAATTATATTGATAACCATATGGGTTCACATTTGTTTTTTTTCTTCCTTCTCTTTTTATGCTCCCTTCTCTTTTTATACTCGTACAATATAATTTATATGGTGTTTGGAGTTTTTGCTTTTTTATGGTTTTTTGGCCTTTTTAGGAATTAAAGAATTAATGTGTTTAGAAAATTGTTAAGTAGTGATTTTTTGCGAGTTAAAAAGTTGATGTGATATTTGATTTTTTTATCTGATAAAGAGCATCTTACTAACTTTTTGATTTTTTTAGTTAAAAACTAACTTTTTTATGTTGTACCCAAACACCCATTATTGATTGTAAACTTGGTATTTTAGAAATAAATATTTATCATATGAATTGTAGTAATAATAAAAAAAATGGGTATATTTAGAGTCTCCCTCTTGCTTCTCTTCCAACCCTATCGTATCTATAATGAGAATGTTCAGCACTAACTAATAAGTGGTAAATGCCAGTCTATGTAAAAAGTGTATAAAAATATGTGAAATATGTAATATGTATTGAAATTTTTATTCTTATTTTTTTTTAGGTGTGATTTAGTCCTAACCAATGCCTAGTGCGTGGTGGTTAGCAAGACCTTTACATAAATTAGCCTCCTAACTCTTTTTTTTTTTTTTTTAAATAGCCTTCTAACCTTATTCCAATCACAAAATGATTTGCAGTATACAACAATGACCAACTAATTTTAAATGAGTCTAGGAACATAGAAATCAGCAAATACAAAATGCATATAAATGGACAATTTTTTTCATAAATGGGCCCCATCAACAAACTCAGTATACTTTGTATTACTCTATTACTGTATTCGTTCAAAATTGTGGTATTTTAGCCAATCTTACGAAGCATTTATAAAGCATTCATGCTAGCACTCTTCAAAGGTATTGTGTGTTATTTTAGCCAATCCACAAAAGCATTTATAAAGCATTCATGTTACACTCTTCAATAGGTCAGTAGCAATAATTTCTGTTGTTTGCTTAATTTATCAAAAATAAAAAAAATAAAAATCCTGTTGTTTGCTTAAAGGTGAGAGACTGCCAAGATTGACACATCTCGTACAGGGGTAGATATATACATGGCTTTCTTGTGGTTTTTAATATTTTGCAGATTAGTTACTTCTCTTTCAATTAGGACTTGTGGAGTAGGTGTGAAATTGGATCTGCGGTATTTATTTGATTAATATTGTTAAACTATTCTTGGATGATCTATGACATGTATATGGTGTTTCTGATCAAAGAGATTATGCAAAAGAGGGGTTGGTTTTATCTCTCACCCAACTGACCAAAACGGGTCAAGTAAGCTTTACCCATCTTGTGATTCCCCTGTTTGGCGTAGCTTATGGAGGCTGCTTATGATTTTTGTTGTTGTTGGAAATCTCGTTAGTATGGTGCAACTTTTTAGAAAATGTATGTAATTTATAACTTCATCTTTTTAGAGAGAGAATTTTCATGACTTCAACTTATGCCACCAAAGACACTAACAACACTAAGTTGGTATTCTGAAACTACTAAATAATTACTCATAAAAATGAGTTAAGAAATTATGTTTGCTTCATTTTTAATCTTTCATGTTACATGTGATCTTGTAAAGGGAATTAGTTGTGAATAAATGAATTAATTTGGAGAAACTTGAAGTGAAAAGCAAAATCGACCCACTGTGTTATCTTAAACTTTAATAATGTCAGAGCAATTTGTACCTCAACTATACCAAATTAATGTAGTAAAAGATTGAAGACAAAAACACTTGGTGTGAGAACACATGGTTTGTTCTCTACCCTCCCTTTTAGTGTCAGTATAGGATCTGATGAATATGGAGTCCATATGCACACCTAATTAGTCAAATCTGTCTTTATATGCTATGTGATACACTACTATAATTGCCTATGTAAGTCATGGTGTGAACATGCCATCTTACTTATTTATTTTTTCTGTATTAAAAGTCCAATGAGCCCACAGCCTGGTGGGTCATGTTAGTGGCACCCACAATTGTTTAGTGCCACAAAAGGGGTTGGATGAGAATAAGATATGCTTTAAACAGCTTTGTATCATCAGTTCTACGGCCAATACTTAATTTTCTATCGCATTTTGCTATTGGATATTTGCAATAAAAGTGGGGTTCACCTCACGTGATACTGTGGATTTATATCATCAGTTTTGCTTTGCACACCCTATTGCTTGGAGTTAGCACAGGTAGTACAGTGATGAAGTGTAAACCTTGCGTCTGATCTTAAGTGGTATATGTGGTTTGTGGGTGGTTGTGCGTATTTGAGGTTTACTTTGTATGGGTGACTCCTGTGTGACCCTAAGTTAAAATAAATTAGCTGGTGTTTCAAAAACTTACCTGTGATTAGGTAAGAGGTATGTATCCAAATTTTAAGAAAAATGGGAATAAAGTGGTCACATGATTGCATGTCCCGATCCACATGATAATTTTGCTGCCTTGGGGGGTTCTTCATTAGCCACAAAAAAGAGAGAGTTCATGATAAGGTTCTTTGTGAGGCCTTTTTAGGTAATTTTCAACAATTTTTGCTTTGTTGGGAGGTTCCTCAATAGAAGAATAATAAATAAAAAAAACACAATGACAAGGTTTTTTGTGAGGGCTGTTTAGGCAATTTTTAACAGCAGAAGCCAAACATTTGGTGGTTACAGAAGAAAAAGTTTCTATAGAAAATTCTCTTTCTTGTCATTGTTAGTTATAGATTCTCTCTCTCTCTCTCTCAATTCCATTCCCTCCTTTATTCACGCCGCTTTCACTTCCACAATCACACATTTCTTTTTCCCTTTTTCTAAAACAAAAAAACAAAAGGCTTGACTCTTACTTCTTCTCCATTCCATCAGCATCTTCCATTTTTCAATTACATTATCTCCATTTGTTTCTGTCTCTTCACAGACCTCTGAGTGAGAGAGAAAAATGTCTGAGCTGTGCTTGTCAAGCACTCCCAAGAAGACTATCCAAGTTTCTTCTCTCCTACTCTCTGACTTGCATCTGTTTTTTTCCTTCATTCTCTCTCACCCTCTCTACTTCTTTTACTTCATTTTCTTCTCCCCATACCTTCTCAAGCTCCTCTCATATCTCTCTCCTCTGTTCGTCACCACTTCACTCCTCCTCCTTGGTTTCCTTACTGTCCATGACAACTCATCTCTCGAATTATCCGAATCCAAATTGGGCTTTTTGCTCCAAACATACCATGCTGTTATGGAGAGATTAAGGCCAAAGACAGACGATGAATACAACGAATTTCATTACTTTGAGGAGCTTGAAGCATACAAAATTGTGTTCGACACATCGACATTCTATGCAAGAGAGAAGTCAGATGAAGTTTTGGATTTGGGATCAGAAGAAAATTGCTTCGAAGCTCTTGAAGCATCTGTTTTTCAGAGTTCAAGCTACGAAATCCCAGGTATGAGTATGTCTGAAGTGTTGGTTGACAATTTGGAAGAGAAAACAGTGGAAATTGCTTGGGAAGAGACTACTGATCAACAAGCTATCATGGAAGAGAAGAGATTAGAAGGGTTCTTAAAAGTTTTGGATGAGTTTGAAAACAGGACTTATAATGTGGAAGAGAAAAAAGTTGATAAAATAAAGGATGTCGAGGTTGAATTTAGTATTGATAATGGTGGAGAGGTCACTTCAAAAGTCGCAGCTAAGTCTGAAACATTTGATGCATATGTTGATTGCATAGATAATGGTGGAGAGTACACTTCAAATTTCTTGGAAAGTCCAAGTTCGCGAACATTGGATTCTAATCTTGGGAGCTATGGGTCGATGAGGAGAGAAAAAGAGTGGAAGAGGACGTTGGCGTGCAAGCTATTTGAGGAGCGGCACAATGTGGATAGTGGTGGTGAGGGGATGGATTTGCTTTGGGAGACGTATGAAGCAGATTCGAGTAACAAAGCCAAGCCAAAAATCAACTCCAAGAAGAAGAAGAACAAGAAGAGAAGTGACTCTGAATGCTACGTGGACAACGATGATGAGGAAGAGGACATGAATGGCCAGTTGTGTTGCTTACAAGCTCTGAAGTTCTCTACAGGGAAGATGAATTTGGGAATGGGGAGGCCTAACCTTATGAAGATCTCCAAGGCAATCAAAGGCATTGGATGGTTGCACCATGTGACCAAGCATGGCAAAAAAGGGTATAACTGAGATATTAGATTTTAACTACCCTGATATTAATTAAATTAAATTTGCATATGTACCAAAATATGTGTATCAAAATATGTGTATCTGTTTTGAGAAAATTACAAGTACATATATGTTCTTTTTGGGCTTCTTTTGCATGATGTGTTAAAACTCCTGTTTGTTTATTTTATTTTTTAATGTCTTCGAGCTGATTAGGTGGTCATCAATCATAGTTGATAACACTTTAGACTAGGAAGGTGCTAGTGTTCTGCTTTTTGGAATGATAGAACTTCATTTTGTGAGACATGCTGTGATTATTTTGATGGAAAGTCACATGATGCTGTGCCCACCCATGACCCATGGGAAATGATTATTTTTCATCCTTCGCTGGATTTCACCACTGATACATTGGAGGGGAGGTCACTGTTACCATTTTATGATTTTCGAATTGATCCCAGATTGAAGTCACTTTAATGCTGTGTTTGGTTGGAGTTTTTGAGGTGGGATTTGGAAAAGGAATGAGAAATGTAATCCTATTTATGTTTGGTTATAATACAAAATATATGGGAAAAGAAAGGGGGTGAGAAATAAATAAAGAAATAGGATACCTTTTAGGACATCAATTCTATTTTATGACCAACACAACCAAACATAGTTGGGATTTGGAATTCTATTAATTCTTTCTCCTTTTCCTTTCATTTCCATTTCCCTTTCCATTTCCCTTCCCAAAACCCCCAACCAAACACAGCGTAATAGTTAGCAACTTGGGATTATTTTGATGGAAAGTCACATGATGCTGTGCCCACCCATGACCCATGGGAAATGATTATTTTTCATCCTTCGCTGGATTTCACCACTGATACATTGGAGGGGAGGTCACTGTTACCATTTTATGATTTTCGAATTGATCCCAGATTGAAGTCACTTTAATAGTTAGCAACTTGGAATCGCTGTCTATTTCATTCCATTACCCTTGCACTATTTGATGTCTCTGTTTCCTAGTGCACAAAAACTTTGGAAAAAAAACAAAAAGTCACCAGTAGGTTAGTTGTGTTCTCTTATACTCCATTAAAATATAACCAAAGAGATCCAAATAAATTTTCATTAATCTATGGTTTGATCATGAAAATTGCAGTATGCCTTTCAATCAGTTAGTGTGGGGTACTTTAGTTGGATGAAACTCATGAAATTGCTTTGTAGGGGGATTCAGAGATAAGCTATGCATGCAAGTAGTTGCAGGTTTGCAGCTGATGAGTCTGTTCCCGTTAGTACAAATTTATTAAAATTCCAAACTGAGTTGTGAACAAATCTTTCTTGCTTTCTATAGACCAAAAGTAGGTATAAAAGATCCCTCAGTTGCACAATGAACTAATATTAGTTTTACATACATAAGAGCCATTGACTGGGCTATTCTGATAATACATAGAGGTCCTTGCCAAACAACCTAATTGTCTTCGTCTTCATCTTCACCAGTTCTTTTTTCTCATTTTGAACAACAATGCGGCTTCTATTAGTATCACTACTTCTGCAATCTTCGTAGATGTCCTTTCCAAACAACCTAATCATCCTCGTCTCCACTGCCTCTTTACTTTCATTTTGTCCACTTCCCTTCTCAAAGTCAATCAAGTATCGATCATAGCGTTGTGAACAAGAGTGGTTGATCTTATAAAAGCGAATTGCGTCAGTGGCTCGCAGTTGTGGGCAGCAACAAAAGCCTTCCACCCGGCTGAAATCCTGAAGGATTTACTGCACAGATTGTACACGAATTTCATTGGCCATTTCCTGTTATGAGAGTAGAGAAATCGCAGCACCCCCATCTTAGAACTAGGTCTTCCATCACTGGTTTGCTGCAGAGAAGGAAAATGAGCTAATGCCTTTTCCTTTGGTAATTGTAAGCAGAAGGGCTCGGTGGCATTGGAATTGCTTAGTTTCTGCTCAAAAAGAAAATCTCTGTCAGCAGTTTTGGTTGATGAGGTAGAAGAAGAAGCTGAGGTTTTGTTCTTATGAGAAGACCATTTTGGGTAAAAGTCACTCTGAGGATGTTTGACAATGTTGCTGCTGGATGAAGTGGATGTACATTTGCCTTGTGGTTCCTTCTTGTTGCTCTTAATTGAGTGTATGACCCTGTTTCGGAAGAACTAAATAAGTAGTTGCAAATAAATCTGTTTGGAATGGCTGCTTCATAAAAAAAAATTCACTATCCCTTCTTGTCAGCATGCCTCTTCTAGAGTAAAATTGTAATATTTTATCTTATCATCCTCTATTTGCTTGTTAACTAAAATTAAGAAAGATTTAGGAAGAATATTTGAATCGCAAGAATATAAAGTACAAATCATATTCAAGTCTTCAACTAGCCAACCTATTAATGACACTAGCTCATGTTCGAGTCAGTACTAGGTAGGGATTTTTGAAGAACGACAAAGATGACGCAGTGCTCTGTTTGGTTGCTGAGAAAATGAATGAGGGTGAAAGAAAATCCATATTATAATTTTTCACGTATGCATGCAACCAGACAGAGAGAATACACTATACCCAAAACTATGTATGTATTGATGTACAAAAATAAAAAAGTACACATAAACAGCCAGAAATGAATGAAGATAATTCTTGAAAGAAAGCCCATTAAAAATCAGTAATTTGGCAGGGAAAGAAGAGGAAAATCACCTGGAAGTTGATTCTGATGAAGCATCAATGGGACTCTGATTCACATCATGGTCTTCTGATAGACAGAGATATCCTCGTTTCTTGATTGGCGTGACAACATTTTCTTGATCAGTAGCGACAACTGTTGGGGAAGAAGATGATGAACTCTGTTCTTCTTCTGAGACATCTTTTGCTTCTTCAATATCTGAGTTCTTCATCTTTTTTCTTTCATTATCACTGAGACTTGTGATAATTTCTCTGCTTTCTGACATTTTCTTGATTGTTCTTGAATAGATTGTGAGCACTTTTCAAGTTTTGAGTGAGAGAGAGAGAGCGAGTTATTCTTTTGAAGAGTGTATGTTTATATACAGATACAAATGATAGCAGAGAGAGAGAGAGAGAGTTATTCTTTTGAAGTGTGTATGTTTATATACAGATACAAATGAAAGCAGAGAATGCATTTTATAGCTTACGGGTTGACACTAGACAATGCAGAGACAATGCATATATGGTTCAAATTAATACTATTTTTGGTAACTAAAAAAAAGAGAGAGTACTTCGGTGAAAAATTACTGTCAAATGTCATAAACAAGAAAATTAATCCCCTTTATATTTCTTTTTTATTTGATTTGATAATGTTACCATATAAATATATCATTGTGGTGATGGCTGTGAAATAAATAAGAGACCAAGAAAAAGAAAAAGCCTTGGGTGTCTTGTGTTCTGTTTTGTGAGTTTAGAGGTGTTTAGTTCACGTGATTGTAAGCCCACCCTGTGCCCACTATTCGAACCATTCATATTGTTGTAAAATATTAGATTGATCGAATATCAATAATCATATAATTAGTCATATTTAGTTTTACAAAAAATTGACAATTTATTTTCAAAATCATAATAATAACGAGACAATGGACCATAAACTTTGGGTTGCGACATTGTCATGGGTCCAGAGTTTTAACACTGGACGGTGAGTCCTGCTCCAGTGAGTTGAGTTTTTTAGGAGTTGACCATGTTGTTGAGAGTCATGAGGTAGTTTTTTTGCTTTTTTCCCCCCTCACTTTTGGCAGGGCTAATTGTTGTTGTGACTTGCATAGCTTTTAATATTAATTTGATCAAAATCAAAAGCTATGAAAAAAATAATAATTTAAGAAAAAGCCTTGGGTGTCTTGTGTGTATGAAAAATCACAATCTCAGTGCTGTAGTATAGAAGCTGCTCATATACTCATTACCTTCTAATGAAACATTCCTATACAATGATTTTCACTAAAAAAGAAAAGAAAAAAAGGAGCTTAGTATCAAAGTATTAATCTGACTATTATCTGCATATCAGGTATCTGACTTCTCAGGCTTGCTCTGAATCATATCAATGGTGCTGCTGCTTTCAGTGTTGTTCTCAATATCAGTATAAATTCAATGCTATGGATGTGTGTCCTTTCCAAACAATCTCAAAACCTGGTTTGGACCTTTTGAGACTTATTGGAAATCGAATAGCACAGCGGCTATTTCCTTCCAAAGGCAGGACAGCTTTGTAAAAAACAAACCACATCGTTTTCTTCCAATTTGTGCTTCTTAACAAAACTGCTCCACGAAAGCTTGTATCTACAGGTAGCATAATTTCTTTTGCCAGTAACAGTATATGGATACCCTGTGAATTTCAACAGCAAAATCTTGTATTCAAGATCAGAAATTTGTAGTGTCTCAGAACTTACTTGAGAGGTATTTAGTGCAGGGAAATGTTTTCTGGTGAGCTTGTCCATATCAGTGGCAACTATTCTCTTCTCAAAGATATATTTTAGGCTATCCAGAAGGTAATGCTGGTTATGCAAATGCTGGAGGGGGTTTGTAAAATTGAATCAAATCCATCGCTATCAAATTGTGTGCACCAAAAAACTGTGACTATCCAGTTATTTTAACCAAGAGGTCACCAGGCTGAGGGATTGTGAGTTTCCCCATAGGCCACTGCTTGTTATTTTTGTCGAAAAGTAGTAGATTAATCCCCAGGTCAGTTCCTGTATCAGCAGCAAGGAAATACTTTTCTGCAGTTTCGAGAGGAATGGTGAGTCCTTTTCTGGCATGTTTGATTGGAAGGAGTAAAGCATAGGATTGGGATTATTAATCCGTGGGCCCAATCATCCTATGTTTGTTTTGACATTTTAGTTGCACCAAAAAACTGTGACTATCCAGTTATTTTAACCAAGAGGTCACCAGGCTGAGGGATTGTGAGTTTCCCCATAGGCCACTGCTTGTTATTTTTGTCGAAAAGTAGTAGATTGATCCCCAGGTCAGTTCCTGTATCAGCAGCAAGGAAATACTTTTCTGCAGTTTCGAGAGGAATGGTGAGTCCTTTTCTTTTATAATCTCGCTAGGTGATAATTGCACCTCGAAGAGAAAATTTTCGTCATCAAATTTGGCATTAATATCAGCCTCATTGTTAGCTCCAGTTCTACCTTCTTGTAGCTCATTTTGTCTGCAAAGTTCAGAACCAAACCTAATAAGTCAATCTGGTCATAGCAAATGGTAGACAATTCATCTTAGAGGAAATTCATCAAACAGGTTATGTATTCATCAAACAGGTTATGTAGACAATTCATTTTAGATATCCGACGAGGTAATGCTAGTTATGAAAAGGCTGGGGGAGTGGTTTGTAAAAGCGAATCAAATCCATAGCTTTGTGTGCATCAAATTGCCATGACCATTCAGTGATAACGAACTCACCAAATTTAAATTTGGTGATGGATTTGATATAGCATTGGAGATGGCCTAACTAACGAATTATTGATAATAATAATTAAGAGGGAGGTTTACGACTGAATATTGGGCCGAGTTGGTTTAGACTGGAGTCGATGCCCTTTGCTCGGTCAAACATTGAGTGCACGCTTGACCGAGGCCTTAGTCCGGTCGAGTTAGAACAATTGTGGATTGCCGGTCCGGGGGAGATTTTCACTCTTCGGAATTGAATTGGATTAGTCCTTCAACGGTGTCATGACCCGAGCCCGCCCCCATGGGTTAAGGACATAACCGGCCAGTAATCACGAGATTACCTATGGCCTTAAACCAAATCAGATATATTTTAACAGAGTTAAGGGGGCCAGACGGAAGTAATTTCAAACTTTTGTCCGTAGAGTTGTGATTACATGGCGCGTCATAACATTTTACAAACATACATTAATAACTCACACCAAGGTAAGTCAACATATAAGCTTTACACAACAGGATCATTCAAGTCATGGTCAGCCAATCAAAACTATACACAACAATAATCCAAAGTTTTCGCCAACATGACAAAATATAACAAAATAGCAAAAAGGCGAAAACAAGTCTCGTGCGTGAGACGTATGGGTTGACTCTTCAAAACCTTGACTTTTTCAGACAAACTTCACTGAGGCTGGGTTTGGACCTCCCTTGGCTCACCTACAGACACATGAATGAGTGTGAGCGAAAGCCCAGTGAATAATATCAAATAAAGAAGATACACGAACGGTATTTAGAACAACATGTATCAGACGGCCTTGGGCCCAATTCATATTTCTATGTAGTATATATATATAGGTCAAGTGACTGTGGTTCCAAACACATAGAACGACCTCGGGCCCAATTCATTCATGTCCGACGGCCTTTGGGCCAATCGTTCCTGTCCAACGGCCTTTGGCCCAATCATTCGTGTCAAACGTCCTTTGGCCCATTCATTCATGTCAAACGGCCTTGGGCCCATTCATTCATGTCAAATGACCTTCGGCCCAATCTTTCATATCAAACGGCCTTCGGCCCAATCATTCATGTCAAACGACCTTCGGCCCAATCAGTCATGTCAAACAGCCTTTGGCTCAGCATTCATATCAAACGACCTTCGACCCAATCAATTGTACCCAATGACCTTTGGCCCAACCATATAGCATAACAAACATTTGTCCACAATTCAAATTAACAACTTATAAGACTTATATGGGAATAAGCAATTGGACAAATAACATACTTCAAAATATCTTTACTAAGATATTACTCATAGTGTTCTGCCGGCGGATTTGCCCTGGAACTCGACCCTACACATTTCATGAACACAATGGGTCACAAACAATTCAATCCGTTCTTAATTCATACATCACTCTTAGGCTTCTTTCTTATCCTTTTAACTCATTTATGATGCTCAATGCATGCCTAAGAGTGCTTAGAAATGAAAGAGAATGGAAAATGAAACACATAACCCCTTTACAAAATTTCTGAAACAGGGGTCCCCGCTCGAGCGTGAATATCCCCGCTCGAGCGGACATCAATGTCTGCAAAAGTTCTGGGAGCTCACATTTCACGCTCGAGCGGCGCTTTCCCCGCTCGAGCGGACACGCCAAATTTTGGGTTTTCCAGAACTGGTCTTGAAGTTCAATTTTGATGTTCAAAGGTTCCAAACTCATGATTTCGGTTCAAAAACATGTAAACACAATATATTACATGAGAATACAAGAGTATGACACCAAATTTGTTCAAAATCATCATCTAATTCTCAAATAACCCTCATTTCTTTTGTATGATCAAAACCCATGCAGTCAAACTTCATACCAAATTCATATCTCTATCAATTCAACATGCATGTTAGTCTTTGACCCCAATTCCATTTCAAATAGCACCAATGATGCTTATAACCATGAAACTCAACAAAACCATGCTTGCATGTATGCTTCAATGCTCAATTTTTCATAATCAACATATTACATGCTAGCTTATGCAAATTCATGGCAATTTTATGCATGCTTGAACATACCAACTCCAATTCAAGTTCTAGGTGATCATCTAACTTGAATTCACAAAATTACAACCTCAAACTTATGAATTCATAACCAATTACTCACCTAGAAGCTCAAATCTTCCAAATTATGATTAATTCTTGAGTTAATCTTCAAGATTCCCAAGCTTCTTGATCAAACCTTTAATTGCCTACACACTCTCTCTCTCTAAATTCGGTTCTCTCACTTTTTAGAGAGCTAATTTCAGCCAAATGAATTAAAAGAGAGGAATTGAGTGCGAATGAGCCTATTTATAGGCTCTCTTAATCAAATTACTAAAAATTAAGTAATGGTGTTTTAATTGGTCATTCTGAATCTGATTATTTTGATCCGAATCAATTTTCAATTAAATTTCACCATAGGCTCTAAACATTACGCTAATCACAATATCGTAGTCAATTTCGATTTCTGTGGCCGATAAGGCCTTCAATTTAAATTCTAAAGCAGATAATCAAATAGATTTTTCCTACGATGAACAAATAGAAATTTAAAACCACATATATTT